CAAAACTCATACTGACGAGTCTGTCCTATATACGTACATCACAACTCGTAATAACGAGTCTCTCCTATAAACGTCCATCGTAACTCATTCTGACGAGTGTACCCTATATACGTCCTTCATAACTCAATCTAACGAGTATGTTCTATATACGTCCTTCATAACTCATACTGACGAGTCTGTCTTATATACGTCCTTCATAACTCAAACTGACGATTATGTCCTATATACGTCCATCATAACTCATACTGTCGAGTCTGTCCTATATGAATATATACATAACTCATAGTGACGTGTCTGTCCTATATACGTCCTTCATAACTCATACGGAGGAATCTGTCCTATATACGTCCATCATAACTCATACGGAGGAGTCTGTCCTATAAAGTCCATCATCACTCATACTGACGAGTGTACCCTATATACGTCCATCAAAACTCAATCTAACGAGTATGTTCTATATACGTCCATCATAACTCATATGGAGGAGTCTGTCCTATATACGTCCATCATAACTCATACTGAGGAGTCTGTCCTATGAAAGTCCATCATCACTCATACTGACGAGTGTACCCTATATACGTCCATCAAAACTCAATCTAACGAGTATGTTCTATATACGTCCATCATAACTCATATGGAGGAGTCTGTCCTATATACGTGCATCATAACTCATACGGAGGAGTCTGTCCTATGAAAGTCCATCATCACTCATACTGACGAGTGTACCCTATATACGTCCATCAAAACTCAATCTAACGAGTATGTTCTATATACGTCCATCATAACTCATATGGAGGAGTCTGTCCTATATACGTCCATCATAACTCATACTGAGGAGTCTGTCCTATGAAAGTCCATCATCACTCATACTGACGAGTGTACCCTATATACGTCCATCATAACTCAATCTAACGAGTATTTTCTATATACGTCCATCATAACTCATACGGAGGAATCTGTCCTATATACGTCCATCAGAAATCATACGGAGGAGTCTGTCCTATAAAAATCCATCAACGCTAATACTGACGAGTGTACCCTATATACGTCCTTCATAACTCAATCTAACGAGTATGTTCTATATACGTCCGTCATAACTTATACTGTCGAGTCTGTCCTATATACGTCCATCATGACTCATACTGACGAGTCTGTCCTATATACGTCCATCATAACTCATAATGTCGAGTTTGTCCTATATACGTCCTTCATAACTCATACTGAGGAGTCTGTCCTAAATAAATATATACATAACTCATGCTGACGAGTCTGTCCTATATACGTCCATCATAACTCAATCTGACGGGTCGATCCTACATAATTACATCGTAACTCATACGAATAAGCCTGTCCTATATACGTCTTCATAACTTATACTGACGAGACTGTCCTATTGATTTCCTTCATAACTTATACTGACGACTCTGTCCTATATACGTCCATCATAACTCATACCGAGGAGTCTGTCCAATATACGTCCATCAGAACTCATACTGAGGAGTCTGTCCTATATTCGTCCTTCATAACTCACACTGAGGAATCTGTCCTATATTCGTCCTTCATAACTCAATCTAACGAGTCTGTCCTATATACGTCCATCATAACTCATACCGAGGAGTCTGTCCAATATACGTCCATCATAACTCATACTGAGGAGTCTGTCCTATATTCGTCCTTCATAACTCTTACTGAGGAATCTGTCCTATATTCGTCCTTCATAACTCAATATAACGAGTATGTTCTATATACGTCCATCATAGATCATACTGACAAGTCTGTCCGATTTTTTCCTTAATAACTTATACTGACGAGACTGTCCTATTGATTTCCTCCATAACTTATACTGACGAGTCTGTCCTATATACGTCCTTCATAACTCATACTGACGAGTCTGTCCTATATTCGTCCATCAAAACTCATACTGACGAGTCTGTCCTATATACGTACATCATAACTCGTACTGACGAGTCTGTCCTATAAACGTTCATCGTAACTGATTCTGATGAGTGTACCCTATATACGTCCTTCATAATTCAATCTAACGAGTATGTTCTATATACGTCCTTCATAACTCATACTAACGAGTCTGTCCTAAACACGTAAATCATAACTCAAACTGACGAGTATGTCCTATATACGTCTTTCATAACTCATATTGACGAGTCTGTCCTACATACGTCCTTCATAACTCAATCTAACGAGTCTGTCCTATATACGTCCTTCATAACTCAATCTAATGAGTATGTTCTATATACGTCCATCATAACTCATACTGACGAGTCTGTCCTATATACGTCCTTCATAACTCAATCTAATGAGTATGTTCTATATACGTCCATCATAACTCATACTGATGATTATGTCCTATATACGTCCTTCATAACTCATTCTGACGAATCTGTCCTATTTATTTACTTCATAACTTATTCTGACGAGACTGTCCTATTTATTTACTTCATAACTTATTCTGACGAGACTGTCCTATATACGTTCTATATAACTCATACGGATGAGTCTGTCCTATATTCGTCCATCAAAACTCATACTGACGAGTCTGTCCTATATACGTACATCACAACTCGTAATAACGAGTCTCTCCTATAAACGTCCATCGTAACTCATTCTGACGAGTGTACCCTATATACGTCCTTCATACCTCAATCTAACGAGTATGTTCTATATACGTCCTTCATAACTCATACTGACGAGTCTGTCTTATATACGTCCTTCATAACTCAAACTGACGATTATGTCCTATATACGTCCATCATAACTCATACTGTCGAGTCTGTCCTATATGAATATATACATAACTCATATTGACGAGTCTGTCCTATATACGTCCATCATAACTCAATCTGACGGGTCGATCCTACATAATTACATCGTAACTCATACGAATAAGCCTGTCCTATATACGTCTTCATAACTTATACTGACGAGACTGTCCTATTGATTTCCTTCATAACTTATACTGACGACTCTGTCCTATATACGTCCATCATAACTCATACCGAGGAGTCTGTCCAATATACGTCCATCATAACTCATACTGAGGAGTCTGTCCTATATTCGTCCTTCATAACTCATACTGAGGAATCTGTCCTATATTCGTCCTTCATAACTCAATCTAACGAGTCTGTCCTATATACGTCCATCATAACTCATACCGAGGAGTCTGTCCAATATACGTCCATCATAACTCATACTGAGGAGTCTGTCCTATATTCGTCCTTCATAACTCTTACTGAGGAATCTGTCCTATATTCGTCCTTCATAACTCAATATAACGAGTATGTTCTATATACGTCCATCATAGATCATACTGACAAGTCTGTCCGATTTTTTCCTTAATAACTTATACTGACGAGACTGTCCTATTGATTTCCTCCATAACTTATACTGACGAGTCTGTCCTATATACGTCCTTCATAACTCATACTGACGAGTCTGTCCTATATTCGTCCATCAAAACTCATACTGACGAGTCTGTCCTATATACGTACATCATAACTCGTACTGACGAGTCTGTCCTATAAACGTTCATCGTAACTGATTCTGATGAGTGTACCCTATATACGTCCTTCATAACTCAATCTAACGAGTATGTTCTATATACGTCCTTCATAACTCATACTAACGAGTCTGTCCTAAACACGTAAATCATAACTCAAACTGACGAGTATGTCCTATATACGTCTTTCATAACTCATATTGACGAGTCTGTCCTACATACGTCCTTCATAACTCAATCTAACGAGTCTGTCCTATATACGTCCTTCATAACTCAATCTAATGAGTATGTTCTATATACGTCCATCATAACTCATACTGGCGAGTCTGTCCTATATTCATCCTTCATAACTCAATCTAATGAGTATGTTCTATATACGTCCATCATAACTCATACTGATGATTATGTCCTATATACGTCCTTCATAACTCATTCTGACGAATCTGTCCTATTTATTTACTTCATAACTTATTCTGACGAGACTGTCCTATATACGTTCTATATAACTCATACGGATGAGTCTGTCCTATATTCGTCCATCAAAACTCATACTGACGAGTCTGTCCTATATACGTACATCACAACTCGTAATAACGAGTCTCTCCTATAAACGTCCATCGTAACTCATTCTGACGAGTGTACCCTATATACGTCCTTCATACCTCAATCTAACGAGTATGTTCTATATACGTCCTTCATAACTCATACTGACGAGTCTGTCCTATATACGTCCTTCATAACTCAAACTGACGATTATGTCCTATATACGTCCATCATAACTCATACTGTCGAGTCTGTCCTATATGAATATATACATAACTCATAGTGACGAGTCTGTCCTATATACGTCCTTCATAACTCATACGGAGGAATCTGTCCTATATACGTCCATCATAACTCATACGGAGGATATAAAGTCCATCATCACTCATACTGACGAGTGTACCCTATATACGTCCATCAAAACTCAATCTAACGAGTATGTTCTATATACGTCCATCATAACTCATACCGAGGAGTCTGTCCAATATACGTCCATCATAACTCATACTGAGGAGTCTGTCCTATATTCGTCCTTCATAACTCTTACTGAGGAATCTGTCCTATATTCGTCCTTCATAACTCAATATAACGAGTATGTTCTATATACGTCCATCATAGATCATACTGACAAGTCTGTCCGATTTTTTCCTTCATAACTTATACTGACGAGACTGTCCTATATACGTCCTTCATAACTCATACTGACGAGTCTGTCCTATATTCGTCCATCAAAACTCATACTGACGAGTCTGTCCTATATACGTACATCATAACTCGTACTGACGAGTCTGTCCTATAAACGTTCATCGTAACTGATTCTGATGAGTGTACCCTATATACGTCCTTCATAACTCAATCTAACGAGTATGTTCTATATACGTCCTTCATAACTCATACTGACGAGTCTGTCCTAAACACGTAAATCATAACTCAAACTGACGAGTATGTCCTATATACGTCTTTCATAACTCATATTGACGTGTCTGTCCTACATACGTCCTTCATAACTCAATCTAACGAGTGTGTCCTATATACGTCCTTCATAACTCAATCTAATGAGTATGTTCTATATACGTCCATCATAACTCATACTGACGAGTCTGTCCTATATTCGTCCTTCATAACTCAATCTAATGAGTATGTTCTATACACGTCCATCATAACTCATACTGATGATTATGTCCTATATACGTCCTTCATAACTCATTCTGACGAATCTGTCCTATTTATTTACTTCATAACTTATTCTGACGAGACTGTCCTATATACGTTCTATATAACTCATACGGATGAGTCTGTCCTATATTCGTCCATCAAAACTCATACTGACGAGTCTGTCCTATATACGTACATCACAACTCGTAATAACGAGTCTCTCCTATAAACGTCCATCGTAACTCATTCTGACGAGTGTACCCTATATACGTCCTTCATAACTCAATCTAACGAGTATGTTCTATATACGTCCTTCATAACTCATACTGACGAGTATGTTCTATATACGTCCTTCATAACTCATACTGACGACTCTGTCCTAAACACGTAAATCATAACTCAAACTGACGAGTATGTCCTATATACGTCTTTCATAACTCATATTGACGTGTCTGTCCTACATACGTCCTTCATAACTCAATCTAACGAGTCTGTCCTATATACGTCCTTCATAACTCAATCTAATGAGTATGTTCTATATACGTCCATCATAACTCATACTGACGAGTCTGTCCTATATTCGTCCTTCATAACTCAATCTAATGAGTATGTTCTATATACGTCCATCATAACTCATACTGATGATTATGTCCTATATACGTCCTTCATAACTCATTCTGACGAATCTGTCCTATTTATTTACTTCATAACTTATTCTGACGAGACTGTCCTATATACGTTCTATATAACTCATACGGATGAGTCTGTCCTATATTCGTCCATCAAAACTCATACTGACGAGTCTGTCCTATATACGTACATCACAACTCGTAATAACGAGTCTCTCCTATAAACGTCCATCGTAACTCATTCTGACGAGTGTACCCTATATACGTCCTTCATAACTCAATCTAACGAGTATGTTCTATATACGTCCTTCATAACTCATACTGACGAGTCTGTCCTATATTCGTCCATCAAAACTCATACTGACGAGTCTGTCCTATATACGTACATCATAACTCGTACTGACGAGTCTGTCCTATAAACGTTCATCGTAACTGATTCTGATGAGTGTACCCTATATACGTCCTTCATAACTCAATCTAACGAGTATGTTCTATATACGTCCTTCATAACTCATACTGACGAGTCTGTCCTAAACACGTAAATCATAACTCAAACTGACGAGTATGTCCTATATACGTCTTTCATAACTCATATTGACGAGTCTGTCCTACATACGTCCTTCATAACTCAATCTAACGAGTCTGTCCTATATACGTCCTTCATAACTCAATCTAATGAGTATGTTCTATATACGTCCATCATAACTCATACTGACGAGTCTGTCCTATATTCGTCCTTCATAACTCAATCTAATGAGTATGTTCTATATACGTCCATCATAACTCATACTGATGATTATGTCCTATATACGTCCTTCATAACTCATTCTGACGAATCTGTCCTATTTATTTACTTCATAACTTATTCTGACGAGACTGTCCTATATACGTTCTATATAACTCATACGGATGAGTCTGTCCTATATTCGTCCATCAAAACTCATACTGACGAGTCTGTCCTATATACGTACATCACAACTCGTAATAACGAGTCTCTCCTATAAACGTCCATCGTAACTCATTCTGACGAGTGTACCCTATATACGTCCTTCATAACTCAATCTAACGAGTATGTTCTATATACGTCCTTCATAACTCATACTGACGAGTCTGTCTTATATACGTCCTTCATAACTCAAACTGACGATTATGTCCTATATACGTCCATCATAACTCATACTGTCGAGTCTGTCCTATATGAATATATACATAACTCATATTGACGAGTCGGTCCTATATACGTCCTTCATAACTCATACGGAGGAATCTGTCCTATATACGTCCATCATAACTCATACGGAGGAGTCTGTCCTATAAAGTCCATCATCACTCATACTGACGAGTGTACCCTATATACGTCCATCAAAACTCAATCTAACGAGTATGTTCTATATACGTCCATCATAACTCATACCGAGGAGTCTGTCCAATATACGTCCATCATAACTCATACTGAGGAGTCTGTCCTATATTCGTCCTTCATAACTCTTACTGAGGAATCTGTCCTATATTCGTCCTTCATAACTCAATATAACGAGTATGTTCTATATACGTCCATCATAGATCATACTGACAAGTCTGTCCGATTTTTTCCTTCATAACTTATACTGACGAGACTGTCCTATATACGTCCTTCATAACTCATACTGACGAGTCTGTCCTATATTCGTCCATCAAAACTCATACTGACGAGTCTGTCCTATATACGTACATCATAACTCGTACTGACGAGTCTGTCCTATAAACGTTCATCGTAACTGATTCTGATGAGTGTACCCTATATACGTCCTTCATAACTCAATCTAACGAGTATGTTCTATATACGTCCTTCATAACTCATACTGACGAGTCTGTCCTAAACACGTAAATCATAACTCAAACTGACGAGTATGTCCTATATACGTCTTTCATAACTCATATTGACGTGTCTGTCCTACATACGTCCTTCATAACTCAATCTAACGAGTCTGTCCTATATACGTCCTTCATAACTCAATCTAATGAGTATGTTCTATATACGTCCATCATAACTCATACTGACGAGTCTGTCCTATATTCGTCCTTCATAACTCAATCTAATGAGTATGTTCTATATACGTCCATCATAACTCATACTGATGATTATGTCCTATATACGTCCTTCATAACTCATTCTGACGAATCTGTCCTATTTATTTACTTCATAACTTATTCTGACGAGACTGTCCTATATACGTTCTATATAACTCATACGGATGAGTCTGTCCTATATTCGTCCATCAAAACTCATACTGACGAGTCTGTCCTATATACGTACATCACAACTCGTAATAACGAGTCTCTCCTATAAACGTCCATCGTAACTCATTCTGACGAGTGTACCCTATATACGTCCTTCATAACTCAATCTAACGGGTATGTTCTATATACGTCCTTCATAACTCATACTGACGAGTCTGTCTTATATACGTCCTTCATAACTCAAACTGACGATTATGTCCTATATACGTCCATCATAACTCATACTGTCGAGTCTGTCCTATATGATATATACATAACTCATAGTGACGTGTCTGTCCTATATAAGTCCTTCAAAACTCATATTGACGAGTCTGTCCTATATACGTCCATCATAACTCATACGGAGGAATCTGTCCTATATACGTCCATCATAACTCATACGGAGGAGTCTGTCCTATAAAAGTCCATCATCACTCATACTGACGAGTGTACCCTATATACGTCCATCAAAACTCAATCTAACGCGTATGTTCTATATACGTCCATCATAACTCATACGGAGGAGTCTGTCCTATATACGTCCATCATAACTCATACTGAGGAGTCTGTCCTATGAAAGTCCATCATCACTCATACTGACGAGTGTACCCTATATACGTCCATCATAACTCAATCTAACGAGTATGTTCTATATACGTCCATCAAAACTCATACGGAGGAGTCTGTCCTATATACGTCCATCAGAACTCATACTGACGAGTCTGTCCTATATACGTCCATCATAACTCATACTGTCGAGTCTGTCCTATATACGTCCATCATAACTCATACTGGCGAGTGTGTCCAATAAAAGTCCTTCATAACTCATACTGACGGGTCTGTCCTATATAAATATATATATTTTTTGTGGAATAGTAAGGTGGATAAAATAAAGAGAGATATTATCACGCAGAATTATTATGAGGGGGGTCTGAAAATGGTTAATGTTAGGGTATTTATAGATTCTTTAAAATTAGGTTGGATAAGAAGGTTATATCAAAAAACATCAAAGTGGCAACAGATTTTCAAAAACATTCTCAGACCCACACAAATTATTTATATGTGGCGGTGCCTATATTCAAGAACGTAAAAATAAATGCAAAAATAAATTTTGGAAGGATGTGTTTAAAGCCTGGGAAAGATTTAATGATTCAGATACAGTAAAGGAAAGAAAGAAAAAAAACTCCATATTGACATTGCCATTATGGTATAACAGAGATTTACTTATTGGGAAAAAGACTATTTTTTATAAATTGTGGTACAAGAGGGGAGTAACAATAATTTCTGATTTGATAAAAGATATTGATACATGCTCGTTCTACACTCTTCAAGAATTTAATGAGATTTATCAAGTTAATACAAACTTTCTTCAATATAATGGTGTGATCTCTGCTATTAAATCATATGTAACAAAGATAGGCTATAGAAGGCAGTTAATCTTTCACCCTATCATCCCAAGTAACATATTTTTTTTTTCGTGAAAAATACAAAAGGGACTAAGGATCTATATAATTTTATGGTTAAAAAATGTACTGTATCTATAGGTAGGAAGAAGTGGGAAGACATATTTGAAGATATTGAGTTGACCTGGTCTGATATTTATAAAACTCCATTTAAGGTTACAAAGAATACAAAGCTACAGTGGTTTCAATACAGAATAGTGCAACATATTTTAACAACAAATACATATTTGTTTAAAGCTGGATTAGCAAATAGTCCTATCTGTCCTCTCTGCAACTTGGAGAGAGAGACAATAATTCATACTTTGTGGGAATGTCGAGAAACTCAGAATTTTTTGGTTAATGTTAAAACTCTTCTTGATGAACTATTGATTCCATTTTCTTTTAACAAGAAAAGCTTTATTTTTGGGGTAACTTCAGATTATGACAATGCTATAGGAAACTCAGCAGATAATGAAATTCTGATCATGATTATGTTGTATATATAAATCAAGATGTATACATAAAAAATCTTAAATCCAAATATTCTGATCAATCAAAGAGTATTACACATTTCAAAAATATATTGCTAACAGCAAAGGTGATCTTGCACAGCAGAATTTAGAAAATAAATGGAGAAAATGGAGAAGATTATTAGACTTAAGTGATATTTAAGCTTTAATTGGTACCGATATGATCTGCCATCAAGTTTTTCTTACACCATGAAATATTAGTTCTCTTTCTTAAATATATACATATATATATATCATTATATCTCTACGCAGACAATTTTCCCTTTTTAATGATTGGTGAATTTACTTATATATTAAGTTATACTGTTGATTATACTACAGGCGTGACAAGTTGTACTGTTGATTATACTACAGACACAAGTTGTACTGTTGATTATACTACAGACACAAGTTGTACTGTTGATTATACTACAGACGTGACAAGTTATACTGTTGATTATACTACAGACGTGACAAGTTATACTGTTGATTATACTACAGACGTGACAAGTTATACTGTTGATTATACTACAGACGTGACAAGTTATATTGTTGATTATACTACAGACGTGACAAGTTATACTGTTGATTATACTACAGACGTGACAAGTTATACTGTTGATTATTCTACAGACACAAGTTGTATTGTTGATTATACTACAGACGTGACAAGTTATACTGTTGATTATACTACAGACACAAGCTGTACTGTTGATTATACTACAGACGTGACAAGTTATACTGTTGATTATACTACAGACGTGACAAGTTGTACTGTTGATTATACTACAGACGTGACAAGCTATAATGTTGATTATACTACAGACGTGACAAGTTATACTGTTGATTATACTACAGACACAAGCTGTACTGTTGATTATACTACAGACGTGACAAGTTATACTGTTGATTATACTACAGACGTGACAAGTTATACTGTTGATTATACTACAGACGTGACAAGTTATACTGTTGATTATACTACAGACGAGACAATTATACTGTTGATTATACTACAGACGTGACAAGTTATACTGTTGATTATACTAAAGACACAAGTTATACTGTTGATTATACTACAGACGTGACAAGCTATACTGTTGATTATACTACAAACACAAGCTGTACTGTTGATTATACTACAGACGTGACAAGTTATACTGTTGATTATACTACAGACGTGACAAGTTATACTGTTGATTATACTACAGACGTGACAAGTTATACTGTTGATTATACTACAGACACAAGTTGTACTGTTGATTATACTACAGACACAAGTTGTACTGTTGATTATACTACAGACACAATTTGTACTGTTGTTGATTATACTACAGACGTGACAATCTATACTGTTGATTATACTACAGACGTGACAAGTTATACTGTTGATTATACTACAGACACAAGTTGTACTGTTGATTATACTACAGACGTGACAAGTTATACTGTTGATTATACTACAGACACAAGTTATACTGTTGATTATAC